GGTTAAAAAATTTTTAAAACCAGCCACAAATAACATCAGTATTTACTACAGTCTTTTCTAGTCTTGCAGTTGCTTTAGTGAAAAACAAAGAAAAAGCTCTTCTAAATCTTCAGATCCTGATTTGAAACCCTCCAGGAACAGGACTCCCCACAGATTTTAACAAGGAAAGGGCAAGCTAAAACTTTTAATGAAATCTAACATGTTCTGCCTAAGAATAATCACTTTTACTCTCCTATAACTGAATTTCACTCATAAATGTTTAAAAGTGGCTAATATAACACCATTTCCTACAAGGAGAAGATCAAAGTGCTATATTACAAATGCATTATGATTAAAAAAGCACTGTGCAGCTTTGCTATTAACTGTTCTTTAAACCCTAAAAGGCTTCCCATAGATCTCACTTGGCACTGCATATACAACCTTTGACAAGTAATGTAGACCATTTTTATTCATTGCCTAAAATTGTAGGCAATTATGTGCGTCACACTGGCCACCTGCAAATTCTGAATGCCTGCTCCAGTTGTCAGAGCAAAAAACTAATGTCGGAGGGGATTAATCTAGGGGGAGAGAGTCCTCTTTAATGGCTCCAGCAGGTGAAATGGCCCAGCTGGTTACTATGATGAGTGGCCAGAACAGCTTATGTAGAGACATGCAACAAGATTACACATAAAGAAGAAAACAGTGGTACCATCTTATCTTTAACCCTATGTGCTTTTTATTTTTTAATTAATCAGTATAAACAAGATAAGGGAAGCAATTCTACCAATAGGTACTTTTCATTTAAGATCTTTATCCTCAGCTTTTGTTTAAATAGATGTATAAAAATCAACACAATCTCAAAGATTCCTGTTCAGCAGTGAAGGAATTCCAATTACACACTATTTCAGGTTTTAAACTAATTCTGTAGGCACCTACCACGTGGCCTTCAGCATTACAGTTCCCCCCAACAGCAATGCATTATTGCATATAAATTGGAGTCGATAAAAAATTGACAGAAAAAACATCATAGCACAAGTTATCAAAGCCAATCTTTTAGGCTTAAGCAGCAATGAAATGGTTTTTAATCACACTGTAAGGGCAGCTACATAACGTGGAACCTCCAGAAAATTTCAAGCATCAATGCAGCAAATAAAGTTTGCTCTTTCTAAAGCCTATCTAAACACATAGTTGCCAATCAGAACTTCTCTTCCACATTCACCCGCTACCTACAGCGACACATCTAAACCCATTTTGGCACAGACCCGATTTTTCAGAGTTCTTATTTAGGTGCCTGACTTGATGCTGTTTGCAAATGTTGTTCTAAATGAATAATTACATGGCTAACTTCAGCAGGGAAGGCTGACCAACAGCTGAATATGCTGGGGAGAACCGGCAGCTGTATACTTGCAATTTTATTCTGGTTTTACAGAGAAGGTGGCAAAGTACTGGAAAACTTTCTTTAGAGAAAAGGGTGGAAACTTATAAGCAAATACAGCATTTATGTCTGAAGCTGGTGAGGCAGAAAGACACAAAGAAAAAAATTTGGAAATAATTATTCAGATTTTCTCTGATGGACTATCTGGGCAGTTGCACCACGCAGAATGTAAGGCAGACAGTCCAGAAACAAAAAAAGGGACAGATGAACTCAGATTCCCCTGCATCAATGGTGGTGTCCCATTTAAGTGAGATTTAATGTGATCCCTTAACAAGAAATTGTTAAATACTAATGACAATATGAAGAAAGGCAACTATTTCCACATATTTTTTTTTCACTCAGCTGCCCCAATACTCTAAACAAACACACAGAAAGCAAAAAGCATATTTTCAGGATATATCTCATGTAGCACCATTTTTAGTTTTATTAATTGCTTCTGTTTAGGCCTGGTGAAAGAGTATGAACTGATGTTTTTATCTTCACTATCATTGTAACAGTCATTTAAACACATTTAATCACTACTCTAGTTAACTCCGAGATGCTTAATAACAGAATACAGAGCAATGATCCACTTTGTTTCATTAGATCTGGCCTCCCCAGTTGCACACTTTGAGCTCAATCTGTCACCAGCAGCATGATCCACTTCTTGTTTGATGAGAGAGGTATTCCTGTTCTGTTTTTCAGCTAGCAACATTATAGCAAGCACCATTTAAAAAGCCGCCAAAACCCCCTCCAAAATCCAATTTACTTACAGTTGTCAAGGCATATGAAATACAGCAAACTTCATGAGTATCAAATACCACTGTTTTAAACATCAGTTAATTTCTGACTATATCCTTGGCAATATATTTAGCACATCTGAATACTTAGTATATTTAGCCATATGCAATACAGTGATTTCAATTTATGTCCTGCTCTCATTTTCTAAAGGCGGTAAGTAGTCAACCCAAAAACGCTAAGCAGGACTTTAACAATAAGTCCCAACAGTATAAAAAACTATAAAGAAATACATTTAAATTGCATTTAGGAGATTTATCAAGACATGCTCATGAGACACTACTGTGTAGAAAAATGTGCATACATTAATAAACTCTCTGGATGGATGATAGTAATAATGTGTGCCAATGCCAAATTCTTCTTACAGCGTGAGGGACTAAACTGAAGCTTGGAAAACTCACTTGCCTACTTGGCATCAGAGAATTGTGAGTTTTTTGTTGTAAATTAGCAGGGCATGTAATTAACTTCCGCAAATTTAATAGAGAAGTAAGCAGTTGTGAGGATTATCACTTCACACTTCAAAGTGCAAGTGAATACTCCGTGGTCCTGCAGGCAGTGCAAAAGTCTCTGCTACTACAGAGAGTAACTGTGAGTACAGTAGGCTTTTTTCCCCCACCAAGGGAGATGTTTCTGGGAAGTATGGAGTGTTTCTCAGCACCTTATTCGTTCCCTTCAAAACTTCCATGATGTAATAACTGTCCAGTTCCCTGTAAACACTTCAAAAGCAGTTAAATACTTTTTATTAAAATGTTTCAACTGTCAAAAATTCTATCATTTTCACGGCTCTGCTCCTCAGAAAAGCTGTAAGGAGTACCTAAGACGTTACCTGTAGCTCTTAGTTAGCTCCTGTCATTTCATACAGACATCCAACAGCATAGCGTATCAATAATGAAGGTAGTAGTGTATAATTAATATATTCAGACTTCCCTAAGGAATCTGGCTCAGTGACGTAAGGTATTTAATTTAAAAAATACTGCATACACTAAATAGAGTCAACACCACCTAACCAGTAGGTCTCAGAATGTAACTGTAAATAGAAAATCCAATGAGTGTGTTTCTTGTGGCATTCCAAACAAATTATTTGCATTTCACTAGTTATCATCTTTCATCAATAGCCTAAAAAAGACCACGTTAATAACACAGATTCTGAGAATAGTAAATTACTAACAACATGAATCATGTGTGTGGTGACCAGAACAGCTAGACAGATTTAGTGAAAGCAAACAATGTTTTTCAATACAATAAATTCAAGTTCATACACTTGCTGGGTGGGGGACAAGGGAGGGTGGATACAGTATTTACCAGGTAGAGGGCTTCCCCCCTGCGAGAGTGACTGAAAAGTCTTGGGGGTCGCAAGCAAATGAACTGTACTGTAACTAAAAGACTAATACAATCTTTGAGTATATAAATAGGCTAATGTCCAATGTGAATAATTCTACACTTACCTCTGTTGAAATACTGAAAAACTGGAGAAAAATAAGAGGTTTTGAAAAAGTGCTTATACATGAAGACTCAGTGTGCT